TTAACTAAGGTTGGTGTGATTTATGCACATTAAATAAACGAGAAATTCTTTAATAGCAGTAAGGAGAGTATATCAGTGTTACTGTGTCCAGCTGTGATGAGACTGCTGCTGAAATACTTTGTGTGTTCCTGGGATTGATCATCATAAACAATGTTAAAAAAAAAAAATTCAGAGTTGAAGAGCAAAGTTGCAAGCATTGGAAATATAGCCTGTAATTCAGCTAAATTACTTTAAAAGGCATTGTATGTACTTAAATCAGGGACAAAAATGTTGAAATTGATTGCTGTGCAATGAGAATAAGATTTTAAAAGATCCAGTGGCTACAGTGTTCAGGAAAGGCTGTGCTTTGTAAGCATTTAATTAGGTACAAAAATAAAGAATTTTAATTAGGTATTCTTGGTAAGAATATTTTGGATATTTTTTTTTTACTAAAAGCAAATATATGACCTTGCTGAAATGCTTTTAAAATATTCTTTAGGTTAATAAATGTTTATGGCAAGTAACAAAATTCATCCATCTTGCTAATAGAATTTTCCATAGAAGATCTTGTATGATCAAGATTTTTAAGTGTTTGAGTCCACCATTATTTTAGCATAATTACTACTGCAAATGCCATGGCAGTTGTATGAAAGTCTAGTTAATAATTTCACCGAAAAGAGGATGTAAATCATTATACAGATTTTAGAAACTTTAAATCCAAACAATTGGATCAAAGAATTTGTTTGTTTTAAGGGATTGTGAATTGTTCCCCACTTTCATCTTTTCTTTTTTGGTCATTCCTCGTACACAGGGAAAAAAAAGCCGACAGGATTATAGAACAGCCAGAGTAAACCTACTGTGGAATTCAAGGCTTACAGGTGAAAATATCCTACCTGCTCCCTCTGATTTCTCCAAAGATCCAGGATATCCTGTGCTGTGTGGTGGCAGACTGCAGTGTGTCAGCAGCAGGGAGGGAGGCTGGTGAGTGTATCCTGAGCAGCGGAGGCTCCAAGGGCAGCAGCACCTCCCTCCCTCCCTCCTGGAGCTCAGCTGCAGCTCCCGGGGCTTAGCTCAGCCCTCGCCTGCTGCTGTTCAGGGTACAGAAACAAGCCTGGAAAAAGCAGGGAGCAGAGACAAAATGAGTTAGAAGGAAACTCCCCTTTAAGAATCAAGTGATTTACAGTAATGCAGCAGTACAGACCTGACAATTAGCTGCATCTTTCACCCACAGACCTCTAAAGTACTTAATGAAAGAAGGGGAAGTATCTACAATTCAGTCTCTTCTTTCCATACCAGGTAACTTAAGGCACTGTGCTTTGTATAGCAATACAAATTTGAAAAGTCCAAAAGGAAAGATAGAACTTTTTGAAACGCAAACAATTAGTTCTGTGACAACCAAAATAATTCATCTAGCTTCCTCCTGAGTAGTGCATTTATATTCCAGTTGAGTTCCTCCACGCTGTCATGGTGTGACATTTATAAGTGTTTGTTATTTTATTATTATTTATATATATACTTGAATTTAAATGCATATTTTTGACACTACCTTGGCTAAAATCTAGAAATAGAAATGTAGGTCAAGGTAAAAAAAATAGTTGTGATATGGTACACAGGATATAACACCTGCAAAGGTGAATAATGAGAAGTAAAGTTCACCTGTGCAACCCCTTCCAGTAATTTAAATATGTGAGTAAAGGGAGTTTCTATAGGCAAGTTACACAGCTTCTCTTTGTAGTGTTTGTATTTTTTGTTTGGGGTTTTAGGGATTTTTTTTCAGGAGTGGTGGTCTGATGTGGATTGGAGGTCTAGATTTGCTAAGAGTGGCTTTTGGGGTCCATCCTGATACTAGGTAGGATCCAAATATCAGAGAGATGTTAAAAATAATAAGACAGACTGTGCTACCTCACAACTTTATAGGAAGTGTCTATATTTCAAAATAGGAGGGGGCTGTGCCCCTGCACAACAACAGAGCAACATAATTTGGTTTCCAGTTTTCAATTGAGAATGCAGTTCTCTTCTCAAACAGCTAACTACAGTTAAAGTAGGCAAAAATTTATCTTCACACATTTTCTAAATTAAAGAATGGATATGAGATAGACATGGAACCTGAAAATCAACACTGTTCAGAGGTAATTGTAATAGCGGAGATTTACTCCACAGTAAAACAATTAGTGAACAAAACCACAGTATAGAATTTCATAAAGCAGTCAGGGGTCTTTGTGTCTCTAGGTTTTAATCTCTGCTGCAGAAGGAGACATGGATGAGCCAGGGTGTTGTGTGAAGAATGGAGAAGTTCCAAGGGTTTAGACTTGATCAAAGCAGCTCAGCAAAGTCAGGATCTCTTAAGTGTCTTGTGACACAGGGTTTTCCATAGAGGAAAACCTTAAAGCATAGAGGTTGCTTGGCAGAAGTCATTAAGGTTTTTTTAAATAACTTCTGTAAGGATTTCCCTTCTGTGTATTATGTGTCATGAATGTTCTTTTGTTTTACTTGAAGAGTAAAGCACAATGCATTTAAGAATTGGAGTTATTGCTACTTCTCAGTCTTTGAGCTCATTCCTGGACTTTTATGAAGTTCATGCCCAATCACATACATTTATAGGAATATCAGGATCCCTTTGCTGTGCTGTGCAGCAATATATTTGTGTGATTTCCTCCCATGCAGTGAGATGCTCCCAGTGCAAAAGCACACAGTTTATTCCAATGCATTGTTTCCCTAACTCCCGTTGTGATTTCCTTTATATTTCTACATGCCTGCTACATGTTCTATTTCACAGAAGCTGTACCTATCAACATTGGAGTCTGTTTCCCATTTTGGCAATTGCACTTGGCAGCTTCAGTAAACCCTTAGGAACTGCTACAGGTGGGTTTGTGACAGGTGGTGGTGTGCTCATACACTGCTGTTCCCTGTGCTCTCTTCCTGTCTTGCAGCCCCACTGGCCATTTATAGACCCATGTAGCATACTCCTATAGGGGAAGAGGCACAGAGAGACACAGATAACCAGAGTTTAAGAAATAGTTTTGGCAGAGGAGTATGCTTAAGTTGTTTTCTTTGGCAGATAAATTGACACGGTCCTCAAGTGTTTTGATATATATTAATCTATTGACAGAACAAACAGTAAGTGGGATAATACAGTCCAGTACACGCATCAGTTGGCCAAGATAAACACATACTTACATAACTGTTCTTTGCATTATCATAAAACTGACATTTTTGTCAAGGCTTTGTTTTTAATAAAAATAATTTTCACAGAATCTCAGAATCACTAGGTTGGAAGATACCTTCAAGATCATAGAGTCCAACCCATGCTCTAACATCTCAACTAAACCATGGCACCAAGTGCCACCTCCAGTCTCTTTTTAAACATATCCAGGCGTGGTGACTCCACCACCTCCCTGGGCAGGCCATTCCAGTACTTTATCACTCTTTCTGTAAAACACTTTTTCCTAACATCCAACCTATATTTCTCTTAGTGCAGCTTAAGACTGTGTCTTGTTCTGTCAGTGCTGCCTGGAGAAAGAGACCAACCCCACCTGACTACAGCCACCTTTCAGGAAGGTGTACAGAGTGATAAGGAGATGCCTGCCTCTCCTTTGCTCCAGGCTGAGCACCCCCGGCTCCCTCAGTGCTTCCTCACAGGGCTTGTGTTCTTTTTTCCCCATTCTGCAGCACACAATTGGCTTTAATTCTAGCTGAACAATCCCTTGATGGGCTGAAAGGAACTTGGTTTGAGTTCTCATTTTTAGATATTAAATTTGGAATGTTTTCAGTGAATGAGATGAGCAAATGCCCAGTCTGAAAAATGTGGTTTTTATTTACAATGAAAACTAGTGACAATGTACATAGGGAAAACCCTCTGAAAGAGCTGTCGTGGTTTGCGCCACTGTCCCTTGTGTCACCTCCAGTCGTGTGTGGCTGCAGGGGACGGATGAATTACAGACTGCCAGAACTACTCAAACATGCCTTGGAATTTTTCTTACACAGCTCTTTGGCTGATAAAATAGCAACAAAATCATTTTTAGGTGGGAAGCTATCACTTTATTTCTCTAAGGCAGTATGGACAGAGTCAAAGGTGCCTGTGTCATATTTGCTCTACTTTCACAGCTAATCTAAGTGTGGTTTGTATTTGACTTTGCATCATGTACAGCACATGTGTGATGGTTTGACAGCACTCAAACACAATTATAATCTCTGTCATAGTTTGCTCTTAGAACTGAAGAATTGCATCAGTTAGGGATACAAGGCAATTGTATAAATCTAAAAACCCCAAAACTTCAACAGAATTTTCTTTTTTTCATCTCTATTTAGAGGTAGTAGACATTTTACATCGCAGAAATTAAATGTACCTAATTAAAAAAAAAAAGAATTTAAACTTTTTGGATTACATCTAGCCCCAGTAATTCAAATTCAGAAGTGCCATGATGGTTTTTAAAATGGACAGAAAAGAATGATGAGTTAGAGTGGAGCTGGCAAAGGGAATTGAACAATGTGGATTGAGAGAAATGTGAATCAGCCAAGCGAAAAGATCTTATTCATATGCTGTTTAATAGTGTTCAAGGTGCTTCTGAATTGATAGTTGAGTAATGTGCATAGAATCTTTAATATAATTTTATTTATTACTTTATTATCAAGGTGGTCAAGCTGCACGCCACTGCTGAACTGTTTTGCTTATTCTGTGAGTAGTCTTAGGAAATGTGTTGATTTGGAGGATTGGGCTGTCTCCCCATTCTCAAGGCAGCCCAGACCACTGGTGAAGTTGTGATTGGTTCACGTGCACGCTGCGTACGAGAACATCCTTCATGAGCACTGGCAGCTTAGCTCCTGCCAGGTGTCCTGCTGAAACACAGCAAGTGCCTGAAGGCTCTGTGAAGGCGTTCGGTGTCCCGGCAGGGGCTCCTCGCCCCGCGGGCCGTTCCCGCGCCGCCGCCGCCGCCCCCGGGCCGGTGCCGCTCTGCGGGCGGGGCCGCGCTGCCGCCGCCGCCGCCGGAGGGTGGCGCTGCCGCCCGCGCGGCCGCCGCGTCCCCGCCCCTCCGCCATGGCCGATGTGGAGGACGGGGACGAGCCCGGCGCCCCCCACTCGCTGTCGGGCTCCGCGGGCTCCAAGGCGGGCGCTCCCGACAAGATGTTCTCGCTGAAGAAGTGGAACGCGGTGGCCATGTGGAGCTGGGACGTGGAGTGCGACACCTGCGCCATTTGCCGGGTGCAGGTCATGGGTAAGCGCCGGCCGGGCCGCCATGGCCGCGGGGCGGGGGGCCTGGGCCGGGCCTGGGGCCGTGCCCGCCGGCCCGGGCACGGCGGGCGCAGGGCAGAGGCGCGGTTTCCGGCAGACGGGGGGGGCTGATCCCTCCCGCCTCCGCTTCCTCCTCCGCGCCTTCCCGGAGGAGGAGGAGAAGGAGGAGGGCCCCGCGGGGGCCGGACCGCGGCGCTCCAGGGGCCGCACGAGTGCCCCCCTGGCCGGCCGGGCCGCGCTCCCTGCGCGCCTCACGCGGGGCCTGGGCCCCGCCGGGTGCTCCGTGACCGGCCCCGGCAGCGCAGGGCCGCCCTCGTCGTGAGGGCTGGTGCTCGTGTGAGGGCAAATCCCGCAAGCACCTATTTACAGCCAGGCTGAACCGAGGGCCGCGTGCGTGGGGCTGCTCTTTATGGGGTGGGTTTTATTAAGGCGTTTTTGTTAGGACTTTTTTTACGAACCAATTACGGATGTACATAAAAATTCATTTTTCAAATCTGTTAAACCAGGGTGTCTTACACTACTCTACAAGCGTGATTACTGGTGCAGTTTAACAATCACAAATTTACTGTGAAATCTGTTGAGTAAGGGGTTAATTTACTTGGTTTTGAAATCCACAGACTGTTTGAAAGCACCTTAATTGTTGACTGATATTACTGTTTTCTGACATTTTTGTTAAATATGGTATTTATCTTGGTTCTTCAAAACCTGTTTAAATTCTTCCTTCACTGTGCATATCCCATTTTTGCTCTTGGGCTGAGTCATGCTCAGTATAACTGTCCTCTCACTTGGGTGTGCAACACTTGGGCAGGACAAAGGGCCCAGCATCCCCTCCAGAGCACCTTGCTTTTGTAGGGCCCGGAACCATGATACTGAAATGAAGTCAGCATTTGATTTGACAGAAATGAGGCAAAAAAAAGCAATTCTGTCACTTCTCATAAATGTATTTTGCTGGGAGCCTTCTGTGGAACACAGGAGGCAAAAGGGTGTACAAGACGAAAAAAGGGGAAGCGCAGGCTGAAGTAGTGGGAAATTGATCTTTTACATAAGCATGTTTTGAAGATTATTTGCTTTTTTATGGTAAGCAGAGACCACTCTGGAAATATGAAATTGCTGTGTAAACCATAATGTAAAAAATGTAACAAAATCTTATCCAGAGCTATTATAAAAGTTAAAAAAAGGTCACATTTTTTCATAGCTAGACTAAGAGAGTACTTTTAATCTGAAACTAGCAAAAAAAATCTGAAAAAATCTAGTAACCGTTTTTTGGGAACAAACCACATTGTTAGAATGTGAAACTTGATCATTTCTGACTTCAGTTTAGCAATTTTGCGTTGACCCTGCCAGAGCGGGTCTGGCTCCTGTAGAGCCACTGCGTCTGCAGTAACCTCAGGTGGGAGGCAGTGCCAGGCTGGGACTGGCACTTGTTGAAGGTTAGTTTGACTTCTGCAGGGAAGGAGGTGTTAGCTGGCTCTGTTTTCTCCTGGTTTAACTCCTTGAACCAATGTAGCCTTAGATGCACAAGGAAAGAGACAAAAATGCAGGTGTGAGCTGGGAAGCGCAGGATTGCAGCTGGACTGGCTTTGCTGTCCTTATTTCAGTCTGACCCCCTTGGGGTTGTGATGTAGGAGTGGGGACAGGTTACTTTGGTGTGGTGGCAGTGATTTCTGTCCTTGGCACTCTGTGCTGAAAACTGCAGCTCTAGGGCTCCATAGGGCAGCTGATTTATTGTGACTTTCTGCTGTGACCCCAGATCAGTGGGCTCCCACACACCATGATACAAACTGAAGCACTTCAGCTGAATCACTTCAGCTCAATCTTCCCAGCACCTTGGCCCTTAACTGCTGTTGAAATATGAATTACAGGGACAGACAACAGGAAAGTTTTGCTTTTATCTCAATGAAGAAAGGGCAGCTGTTTCAGTCTGTCCTCTTTGTTCTCTATTACCTGAGAAAAGGAGGAATGTCTGGGCAGATCAATCCAAAATAGAAATACTGGCCCTATCTGGCAGACACTGCAAAAATACTCAAATCTAAATTCCTGTTGCACATTATAGTTTTGTCCTCTGGGAGAATTTGGTCCAACCAGTGACATGTAAGCCAGATTCAACCTGCAGGACACTTGTTTAAACTAGTTCCTTTTCTTTGGAGGAGATGAAGATGTGTTTGCTCACATAACAGTTGAACACTTTCTGTTGTGCATGATTCGTGCACATGTGTCTGTGGCAGCCCGTGTTGGGGCAAAGCAGAAGCAAAGATGTTTTTCCACTGCGCTGTGTGGCACAGTGGGAAGCCTGGAAGTTGCCACTCTTGTGTCTTACTGAGTCCTGGAGCTGCCATCCAATCCTAAAGCCACAGACTGGAATGCATGAAGATGATAAATATTTTTAATTAGATATTGTTCTGTATTTATTACCATATATTATCAAATGTACCGCTATATTTGTATGTTTGTGACTCCTGTGAAAATTAGATGCAGGTACTTGTTAAGGGAAGCTACTATAAAAAGTAGTAGATGGTGGGAGTTGTGGTGAGAGATGCACAGCCTAAAAAAATCAAAATTGTGAATGACTTCCTTAAAAGGAAATGCTGACATGTGAAAAACAAAGTCCTGTAATTAGGGTTTGGCTTTGTGCTTGCTCTGGTCTTAATATGCCTGAGTGCCTTGGCACAAATCTGTGGGCTTTTATATCTACAAAATGGAGAAGGCTTTTTTTCAGCAAAAGTTATGAAAATACCAAAGCAATGGAAAATAAACAAAACATGCTGGAGAGTTCAGAGTCCTTCTGATCTCTTTCAGATATATATTTCATTGTCATTTGCACAGTTTTAGAATTGAAGGGGGCTTTAATGTTAAAGAGCTGAACTAGACATCAAAACTTGAGCTTTTTACCTCTGTAAATTTGTATTAGAGTTTATATTTTCCTCTGACAAAGCTATTCTTAAGATGGAATCCTGAGAATCAAATTGAGTTTGTTCTTGTTTACTTTTAGATGCCTGTCTTAGATGTCAAGCTGAAAACAAACAAGAAGATTGTGTTGGTATGTAGTGACTTCATTCGCTTGTTTTTCAATTGAAGCTTCTCTCAGTATGGTGCATTTTAAAGTTTGAAGGGAATACTGATTTTATTAATGCTCAAAAGTAAACTGGTGTTTTGTCCTACATTGTATCATCTTCCTACATTAGTAATACTTTATGCTTTATTTTTGAGCATTAAAAAAAATCAGTTTTCATGTCAGCTGTGCTGTAAAACAAAACAGCTTCCAATTTCCTGTCAACACATACACAGCTAAGAGGTTTAGGTTTCTTTCATTGTGGGCATATTTGAGATCAAAATGTACATTTTTGAAGTGGGTAGGAAAAAGCTGCTTTTTTCTTCAGAGGTGTATGCCAGAAAGCACAATGGTAGTACAAGTAAAAACCCTCTGTTCTGAAATAAATGTGTGTCTGAGATAGAAAGTGGTATTTTTCCTACTCATAATTCAGAGATACTGGAGGCAATGACTTGGTTGTTCACTTTTCATTTTCGAAAGTGGAATCACTTCAGTTTAAGCATAATCATACTTTCAGTGCCAATGTATGCAGAAGAAGGTCTTAATTCTGAGTGTTTAAATTGGAAATAGTGAAAATTATCTCAAAGAATTTGCTTTAAACCTTTAAGACAACTTTTAAAGCAGTGGTAAACCTTTCCATGCTGTTGACCTTTGTGTTTTGAAGTGTATCGTCTCAAAAAAGCCACTGGGGTTTTTTGATGATGGTTTTAATGGGAATAGGGTTTTCCTGTTCAAGATATATTAATTGGCTGGATAAGTATTTAAGATAGACAGGAAAAATATAATTTACAGCACTCCTTTGATTGGTACCCTTGTGCTCTTGTGAGGAAAACATGAGCTAATAAGGAAAAAAGCAAAGTTCTAAAACATTATTCGGGAGTAAATGGGTAACAGAAAACAATTTTTGTAGTGTTGGAACAGCTGTAGCCTGTGAATTACTCCTGTTGTAAAGTCCCATTTTAGACTATATACTGTGTCACACGTGCCTCCCTGCTGTCACTGCAGTTCAAACAGTGCCTTTCACATGAGAATGTGGTGATGCACTCTGCTGTGATAGTGAGTCAAAGTGCACTGGCTTTATGTTGCTACTGGGGAGGATAAAGGGAAAAACTTTCATAGTTGCACTTATTTCCTGGGTAGAACACATCCCTAAATGTGTTCATACAGTCACAAACCCTGTCACTTTATACAAGAAGGTGAGAATATATGTGTTTCCTTTTTTAATGTTTGGAAGGAAGTAAAAGCCTTGATGGTGGAACGCATTATCATCAGGATGATTGTGATAATCCAACCTCAGGGGATAAATCAGTGATGACCTGTTTTGTCTGAGGTTTCCAGTGGTTATAAATATTTGAGAGTGATAGTTTGAATCTTGCTGTAGGAGTTGATTGAAGAGCTGAGTGTGACTGGAACATGTTCTTTCTTCTCTTTCAGTGGTTTGGGGAGAGTGCAATCATTCCTTCCACAATTGCTGCATGTCCTTGTGGGTGAAACAGAATAATCGCTGTCCCCTCTGCCAGCAGGACTGGGTAGTCCAGAGAATAGGCAAATAAAATCTGGAAGGATTTCTTTCTGTTGCACTTCCTGGAATGGTGTGTGTGTTATGGCCTATGCTGATGCAGAACAGAAGGTGTCCATCAGGTGACTCAGTGGCTTTGCCTGCTCCAGGAGCAGGGTGGGTTTGGGGCAGGCCTCTGGCTGCTCCCGGTGCAGGCCATGGGCAGTCAGGCTCACTGCAGGGTTCCACAATTCAAACTGGAGATGCTGCTTCAACAAATGTATCTGCTGTGATTAGAGTGGTGTCTGCATCAGAGCACAGAAACTTAGTGCTGCAGATTATACCCTAAACACAGAGCATTTAATCTTTTTCCATTGATAAATGAATCAAATTGAAAGGGTCACCTTACCTGGTCTGAGACACTGCATCGTTTACTTCCAGGATAAAGAAAATGTTTCCTAAGTACTATTGTATGCAAAAACACAGTCAGTGTGTTTTTTAAGAAATTATTCTGAGTTCCAATCTAAAATTGACAGTGTATAAAACATTTGCTATGTGCTTTTTCCATGACACTCTATTAAACATTTCTTATTTAGGGTTTCTTTATGACTTTTGTTTTCTTGTATCTCTAAATATGTTGCTCTGTTATATTCTATACATGATTTCTACAATCATAACATTAAAATTTAACCATGTTAATAACTTCTCTTATTTGTATTTCTGTTAGTGATTATGGAGACATGTATTTTTAATCCAAAGATTTTTTGTACAAAGCCATGTATTTGATATCAGTTAACTAGAGGTGTAGACAATCTTGCTGGGTAGCTAATTAATATAGGAAGCAAACAAAAGTGATAATTTAAATAACCTAAGGAAAGGAGGCACTAATTAAATCTAGAGAAAAAGGCTAAATTGTGATTTAATGAAAATTTGGTTAATAGAAATATCTTTATTATCTTTTTATTGGTTATAGTGTTTTGGAAGCATTTTTTTCATTTTTGTGGAAATCCTGAATGTATCATCTTTGAATTTTTTCTTACAGTTGTTTAAGTGCTTGCCTTTAACTTTGTCTTTTCCTTAAATATCCAAATTACTATGAATCTGAATATATGCTGTGGGATTTTTGAAATATATTTAACAGAGAGGTAGAATTATTGCTTTCAATCTGTAACAAATTCAGGCTTAATAAAATGGTCAATCAATATGGGTAAAATTGAAGCAATGTATTATGCATTGTTTACTTCAAAATTATCATCTTTAATGTTTAATGTGTTTCTCATTAGATATGTTTCTATCTAATTCTAAGTACATTTAAAGAGGTTTATCTTCACTGTATGAAGTAGTTCCAATCTCTGTATCATCAAGCATATTGCAGAATTTACTGTGGGTTTGTTTATTATTGTAATCTTGGTTTTTAAGATGTTGTGAATTTTTAAATGTAGCTTTTGTTTAATTACATACTGAGATAAAAAAATCCTGAGTCACTGTTACACTGTATCACATCAGTTGTTACTATGCCAGATGATGTGTGTCTTAAAACTCAAAACAAATGTAAACTATATTAACAGTAGTAATGAAGTGCCTCTAGCATTTACATTGTTGTGGAGTATTTCTGTTTGTGTAAAAGTATTCCCAAAATTCTTGCTAAAAAAAGAAATCAGAGTGGACATGAAAATAAAGTTTAGCTGTGGCAGTCAAACTGTATCTTACCTACCGCCTGACCTCTGGTAATGCCATCTAGTCCCATCAGAGGACTTTATTCATTTTTCTTTGGTTTATAGGTGAGTATGGAAAGTACCAAACCCTGCTTTTAGTTCATGTCATGTGCATGGCAAGAGTAGCTGAGAATTACAGCTGTGGAAGAGTTTTTCTAAGTGTCAGCTCAAAGGGGTGTTGACACTAATGAGGTATTAGGAAAGTTAATGTTGAAATCAAAGCAGCTGATATTTTTGTGTATCTGTTTGCATATTTTAAGTATCTTGTTGACCAGTAATTGAGGTTCATCCAGAGCATAAGGTGATGAATTTTAAGTCCTGCATATTTTCTCTGTGATTTAGTGGTTAGCCTAAGTCCCAGTCTTACTATGAGCTCTCCACCAGAGCACTTCTCCAAACCACACCCTGAGATGGCTGATTAGCATGGTGGTTAGTACATCCCAGTACATCCCCGTGTCCAGTTCTGCAACTGTTCACCTCTTGTAATGAAAAATAAATCAGTTTTGCTTCTCACCCAAACATACTGTTTTATGAGCAGGTAACACTACCTTAAATAGCCATTGTCAACTCATAGATTAATGCTGATCTGCTTTTCTCCAGTGTTTAATAAATGCTGAGCAGATTTGGATAAGTCAGCAAGCAAATCTCAAAAGTGACTGGAGTAATGAGTATGTGTTGAATCATCATATTGTTTGATTTTGCTTTTAATGAAGTTATGCTATTTTAGAGAAAATTTATGTTCCATAGAAACCGGGAAAGATTCTAATTAATTGAATACAATGGTCTTTGGAGCTGTAAATGTGTCTTATGCAGGTGCCATAAACATCAGGAATTTTCTTGATTTGCTTAGGCATGAGTATACCAATAGCTGGAGTAAGCTTGAGTTCAGCCTTAGGGCCCCAGCTACCAGCCATTTGTCCTGCTGCTCTTGAGCTGTGGTGGATATTCTGGCCAAACATTAAAAAGACCCTATTGAATTTTAGGAAATTAAAACCTTTATTTAAAAAAAAATAGCTGAAATTAATGCTTTGTTACCTCCTTTCATGCCTTTCTCTACCCAGGGTATTATAGGAATGTGTTGCTGCAGGCCCCATTTTCAGGGCAGCCAGCAGCAGAATTCCCCATTTCTCCTGCTGGCTCCTTGCAGTGTTGCCCACACTGTGGCTGCTCTGCTGAGCTCTTTATGTAACCTCCCACCCTGGGCAGAGCTGGCCAGGCTTTCAGGTGTCTCCTTCCAATTCCCCCTGTTCTCATGCACACACAGCAGCTTGCAGTGGATGGCCCTCTCCATCACTCCTAGAAAAACACACCTCCATGGGAATTCCGTAGAGTGCAAGCACGAGTTTTATGTCAAATGGATTCAGTGTGGACAGGATTAAGCATGTAAAAACAAAACACTGCATGGTTGTAGAATGGCAAAAAGCAGCCAAGTAGGGCTTAACACTTATTATAGGGAGTCTGAAAGGTGCCTGTTATTACTCTTGATGTTTAGTTTTTGTGATTCAGCTCTTCAGCTTGCTGTAAGATTGTGAAAAAAGAAAAAAGACACTTGACCTTGACCTCAAGATCACAGCTTGACCCCAGTGTTACTTCTTTTCTTGTTCTCATAATACTTTCCTTATATTTAAGGAAAGTTTTAACAGCCAAACCACCTGACCCCACAGCAGAAGGAGGCTTAGCCTAGTGAGTGCCACACATAATTTTTATTCTTTTGAAGGGAAAAAAATGCCTTCTGGTAGGCAGCCAGCAAGTGCAGGTGGAATTTGCCTTCACTTGATTATAATCAGCTTTGTCCCTTTGTTGATGTCACCTCAGCTATATGTTGTTGCCACCTTCTTATCCAACCACTTTCTGTCATAAAGCTCAGCAGGGAAAATAAACTGAGGCCAAAACAACATATGGAAGTGTCTTGGCAAGGTTTGGCTGTTCATTTGAAGTGTTTTTCTTTTTTCTGTGGGTAGGAGATGAAGTCAGAGCCATGTTGTTTCATGTAGAAGGATCATTATTTTTAGACCAGTGGCAGTTCTTAGCCTCTGCGTGTAATCTGCTCAGACAGAGCCACGCAAGGCAGCAGGGCTTGCATGAACTGTCTGTGGGGCTCAGTCACTGATGTTGAATATAACTTGAGCTTTGGAGGTGTGAATGCTCAAAGCATGGGTTGTGTGATTCATCTATATCAAGATCTTTTAGGCATGGCAGATTTGTGATAAAAGCTTTTCATAAAACCAGTTGATAGTCTGCTGGTGTTTGATATCGACCAGGGGAGATCCAGGCCTGTCCTGCTGACTGTGGCCAAAGTGCTTCGAGTTGGAGGGAGTGCATGTATTATTGCAGCCATGAGTCCCTGCATGTTCCCAGCAGCCAGGGACAGTGCATGTAGAGGGAATCTTGGCATATTTAAAGGTTATCAGGGCCCATTCTGAAAAACACCAGCTGAACCACGTGCACTTGGTACTGCCAGTGGGAAGGTTTGCCTAGGGTGTCATCCCTCAGCTATACATAGCAAACTCAAAGCTTCTTACAGAGAAACCTCTTACCAGTCACTTTCCACAAATGGTGCCTATACCTAAAGGTACTTAGTGAAAATCCTTGAGAGGTATTTAATGCAAAAGCAGTTAGTTTCCCTGGTGTTTTTCAGAAGCCCTCACACACCACTATCAGGGAGAAGTGCAGTGCAGCTACAGCACAGCTCCTGGGCCAGTTACTCATTTTGTCTGAACCAGGCTCTGCCACCCCAAGGGCTTGCCAAGATGTGTGACATGGGGGGGCTCGACAACCTGATTGCCAACACTGCCTACCTCCAGGCAAGGAAGAGTGGAGAAGGAGACACCAAGGAAATGCAAAAGAGGCGTAAGAGCCTCTCGCTGCCCAAGATTGAGGACTGCAAAGAGCACAGAGAGTCTGTTGCTGGTGATTATGACAGTATCTGTGAGCAGCAGCCCATTGGCAAGAAATTCTTCAGAGACTTCTTAGAGACAGTGCCAGAATATTTGGTAGCTAGAGACTTCCTGGATGAGGTGTCAAGCTGGGAGTTGGCAGAGGACAATATCAAGAGCAGTTGCATGGAGATTATGGTCACCAATTATCTTAAGGAAGGCGGCAGAAACTATCTGTCTTTCATGAGCTCTGACTTGGTCAGCAAATGCAAAGCAGCTACTGTAAAAGACTACGAGAACATCGTGCAACTGGCCAAGGAGGAAACCAAAGTCTTCTTTAAAGATAAGCCTTTCCAGGACTTCCAGAACAGCCCCTTCTATGACAAATTCATCCAATGGAAAGTGTTTGAGAAGCAACCAGTAACTGATAAATACTTCTCTGAGTTCCGAGTGCTGGGCAAAGGTGGCTTTGGAGAGGTAAGAGCTTGTACTTTTAAGGATGTGAGTCATCTCTCCCCTTTCAAGACTAGCAGGTGGGTTTGCAAAGAGCAGTGGATTAAGCCACTCTATGAAGAGTTGTAAAATGTGCCTCTCCAGACTGCCCATTTTCCAGAAATCAGGCTGGGTTATTTATATTGTGATAGAGGCGCTTGTTGGTAAAAAGCTACTTTAACATTTTTATATTCTGTATCTATGCTAGTTAAAAAAGCAGGCTTCTTTACAAAAACTTGCATAAATGTTCATGTAGTGAGCTAAGTCTGCTCCTTGACATCATTTTAGCCTGTGCTATCTCACACACTCCCAGATAATTCCTAGCTGCAGTTTAGGGAAAAGCACACATCAGGATCTGTTCCCAAACTTCTGTATGAAGGTTTTTTGAGAGTCAAGAGAGTTTAACTGTACAGATGCCATCTGTATATGCTTATTCTCATGGTTACAGATTTTTTTTCTTGTCCTTGTTCCTCTTATTTGCTAATACATGCCTACTAGTGGCATCCTCAAGAACTTTGCCTCAGGGCCACAATAAACTACTGGTCCAGAACAGAACTGATTGTACACTTGTTTTTTCTTGTTTTCTGTGCTAATATATTCTTCATAAAAGTTAGCATCAGCAGCTACTGATAGGCATAAGTGATTTCCCAGTTCCTGTCTGTCACTACCCTTAATATTCCACTCTCTGTGTAAAATTCCTTCATTAGTTTTCCATGTGCATCTTCTCTAGGTTTGTGCCATCCAGGTCAAAAATACTGGCAAGATGTATGCCTGCAAGAAACTGGATAAGAAAAGGTTGAAAAAGAAAAGTGGAGAGAAGATGGCGCTGCTGGAGAAAGAGATCCTGGAGAAGGTCAACAGCCCTTTCATAGTCACACTAGCTTATGCCTATGAGACCAAAACCCATCTGTGTCTTGTTATGAGCCTCATGAATGGAGGGGATCTGAAGTATCACATCTACAATGTGGGAGAAAGGGGTTTGGAAATGAAAAGGATCATCTTTTACTCAGCTCAGATCACCTGTGGGATTCTGCATCTCCATTCCATCAAAATTGTGTACCGGGATATGAAACCAGAGAATGTCCTCCTGGATGATAATGGGAATTGCAGACTGTCTGATCTTGGATTGGCAGTGCAAGTCAAAGAGGGAAAGAGCATCACCCAGAGGGTGAGTACAAATTCTTTAACGTAGGCAGTGGGAAGTGCAGCCATTCTATTTCTAATGCCTTATGAGACCAAGACTTAATTCCCCGGAACTGATTCTGTGCTAAAGACCAAATGTAGTCATTTCATTCTGAGAGACAGGTCCTAAGAAGATTTGGTTTATTAACTCTTTAGCTGCTGCATGTGGTAAAATAACTTCTTTTGTACAGAAACAGTAGAATCTATTTGACCTTTTTCTCTTAAGTTCTCGAACCAATGACTGTAGAGAAGCAGATGCTTTGTGCTTTATGGAATACTGCGTAGTCAGGGATTTAATTGATTGTTTAATGAGCAGCAGTCAAAGATATGGCTCCTCTGTATTCTGCTTTTGCTTCTAGGAAAATATAGTTTCTTACACATTACTCTTAAGTGATGCTACTTATTATTTATTGCAGGTGTGTGTGGTGCTGCATGATAAGTTATTTCCAGCCCTCCTTCCCCACACAAATTAATTCCTGAAACAGTTAGCAGACTTGACAGTTTGTAAATGTCCATGCCTGTCTACATGTAGGAAGAAAAACATGGATGACCAAATAGATTTTTTATGAATTAGATTGTGCATCACTTCAGCTGTGCCTCTGGTCATCCCAAACTAGCTTGGACATGTAGTAATGTCAGGAGATTTACACAAAAAAATATGTATTGCTTAACTGTGAAAAAAACATATTTCTCTCAAGGTATCTGGAGCTTAAAGATGTGCATAATGAGAGAATGTGTTTGAAATACACAAGGAAAATGAAGAAATGAAAGCCACATTATAAACTGGTCTGTGTTAAACTCCCCAAGTTCACATTAGAAATTCAGTGGAAGAGAGGACCCACTGATGGCCTTCTACATCATGTTTGAGTGCACATCTTTTGATGTTGTTAAATTCAGTACTTTTGAAGGATCTTTTCATTCCCTGGCAATATAAGAAGTTTGTACTATGAGTGGTTTTAGTTCTTGACGAAGGAGTATGTAGACATTGCTGTAGGTATAAATAGTAAATAATTTTAAAATTAAACTGCATGGTGTTTTAGATACAAAAATACAGCTTCTGTGCAAGCTAAGGCAGGTTTTTCAGTAGAGCTTATGTGAAATGAGAATGTTGTTTTGTTTGTAAAGATGGCATTTGCATCAGTGAACCCAGAGGTGTAAACCTGATTGGGCTTTGTAAGAGGCATGCAGTTACTAGGATCAGAACAAATAGTTTTGTCAAAGGGCAATTTTTCATGCTTTTAAATATGTGGGGTTTGGCAAAACGAAAAAACCTCAAAATTGAAGAGTGTATTTAGCAATATGTAACCACTTCTGTTGGTATTGGGGTAGAATCTCAAAGCAATATTGGACAAGGTGTTATTCTGCCTTACCTTCTGTGAAGCCATCAAATTGTTAGTGCCTTTTCTTTTGTCATTTTTAGAAGCTCTAGTCACCATTATACGGTTGCTTTTATTAAAGCAAAAACTGCAATGAATAATGTGCTACATGATTGTAATGTTTTTTAAGGAATTTCAGTTAAAGGCAGTTTTATTCATACATTACGTTGAAATAGGACATGGAAGAAAAAGATTTTTTGTGTATGTGTTTGTATCATAACTATAAACTAGTTAAATGAATAATTCCCTTTTATTTTCATTTTTGTAAAATAGTCATATTTGAAAGCTTCTAAAAAATGTTATATGAGAACTGGATATTATTATTATTTATACTCATGTCATACACAGGAAGACCAAAGAACACATTTACAAAATTTACATTTACAAAATTTGCATTCAGCTTCACCATGTACTCTTGTAAGAAAGGAAAAATGGTGTTGTTATTTTTTGTCTACTAATTGTAGTTACATTCTGACTTAAAATTATCTGAAAAATTACATCATAACATGCTGTTTGAGTATGACTGCCAAATCATTATCACTTACCAAACCTATACATGTCACCTTTTCATTTTTCACCCAAAGGAATGTATGGCTCCAAGGTTTTTCAAATGAAATTTAATCAGTTGCACCATTTTGTGGACACAGCTTTATAAGGGCATTTTTATAAGCTAAAGCAGAATATATATTCCTTGCAGGCCAAATCTGTATTGTACTGATGTCTGAGTGCCTAATATCATAAAGCTGTTTCTAGATTTTGGATGATGGTTTGAACTGACAATTTAAGGTTTACAATTTTCAGTCACTAATTAAGGGATATTGCTACTGATCTCTATAATATAAAAATTTATCTGTGCATTCATTTCATTAAAGATTGCAAAAAATACACTATTTTGATGAATTCTGAAAGTTTTTTGAACTCTCATAGCTGTATAAGCCATTAAAGATTAAATTTGTTCTGCTTTCAAAGCAGAAAAAAATTCCTGTCTGGTCATGTATGAATAAATGCACATCACCCATACATCAGCTGGAGGATCCATTAATCCCTTTTGTAAATCTTATTAGGTGATTATGTTATCACATGGCACAAGTAATAAGCTTGTTAATGAGTTCCTGTTTTAGACATTTTCCAAGTTTTCTCATTGAGGATTTCTAGAAAATTATAATGTTTATGTACTGTTCATCAGCCAAAAAAGTGTTCTTTGTGGGTAGAAAGGTTTTTTGAATTTTAGATGGATAACTTCAAATGGTCTTAATAAAAAATAAAGTGTGTTTACACTTCAGAAAAGCATTGTGCAACTGATGATTCAATACTTATGTAATTGAAGCAGTAGCCTTGGTATCCTTTAAGTACTGCTGTTACATACACTCCTTTTGAAGGCACCTGTGTGCTCCATACCAATTGGTCATAACTATTAAAAATAAAAATACCTTGCTTTCAGAAACAGTGCTCCTTACAAAGATCTTGAAAGAGTTGGATACCTAGCCTTAGTTTTCTCCCTCTCTTTTCAATTGCTAAAGCAGCAAGGAGAAACATCCAGCTTTCTGTGTGAATGTACTTCAAACTTATACTGTAGTTGTAAGTAAATGATACAATAATAATTTAATTTTACAAAGTTGCTGATTTGACTTTGTGAAGTGCCAGTTGTCCCTAGAAAGAAGAAATCACAAGAATAAATTAAAATACACAAGTTTGAATAATAACAGTCTTGAAAATAAAAGTAGAAAACATTTTAAAGCTACTTACAATGTAATTTTCCTTCATTATTATATTATAAGGGACCCTCTCATGATAGCTACATGCACCTGTGCAATCTACCAGGAAATGTGTATAGGCACATTTAGTCAGGCAGAGCTCTTACTGACATTGCTGGAAACACAAACTCCAGTGGTAATAAAACTATTCAGGACTTTAAATGTCATTATGACTTCCTATAAATGTGCCTGTTGCATCTCATCTGATCTGATCAGATCCTGCAGGAACTAGTTTGTATCTTAAAATTATGACTTTTTAAATATTGTTATTTTCTCTGTCTTACATAATTGAAATAGACAACAAGGAGAAACTGAGAGCCTGCAAAGATGGCTTTTACACAGGCAAAGTGTTCTGTCTCTTGTGTTCTAGTTTGATTCTAGCACTAGGGGTTTTTTGCATATGAAATGAGGAGCTTCCATCCCCAGTTAATTCCATTTTCCCAGAAGTTAGTGTGTATTTGCTGTTTATTTAGGGAAGAATTTTCTGCCCTTACTGGGTATGGCTTTTGTGAAAAGCAACTGTTGCATGTAAATTGTGAAGAACTTTTGTGCAGAGGCATGTGCCAGCCAGAGAGCTTAAATATTGACATAATAACTGTGAAAAATAACATAAACATATTTTTGTAGTATTTATAAAAGTGCATTCATATCTTCAGAGGTTTCGGGCTTCTTCACAGTTTTCCTGTGCTATGCTTTATATATTTGAAGGACATCATAATATTTTTATAGGAAAAACATGTTTTGGTTAAAATCTTACTCAAAATGTCCTTTTGCCCTCCTGTATGTTTGTTTATTATAAGATTCTATTTCTTAGGAAAACACAAGGAAATCTATTTAGATGTTCCTGAAACTAACAGTTTAATTTCCAGGCAGCTGAAAAGCAGGAGGAGGGTTTAGACTTGTGAAATAAAAAATAACTCAGCAAGCTATTCTACAGTTGACCTTTGTTCACTATCACATGGCATTCTTATTGGATAAGATTCTGTAAAAATTTCTTCTTCGTTTGCTCTTTGAAAAATGACAGCTCTTCATTTGCTCAGAATTAGAAGAACTTGCAGCTGTTTTTCTTACACATTTTGAAGTGTGACATGTAAAATTGATGATATTTTTACTAGCAGAAATGGGTTCCTAAAAATGTTGATAATCACAGTTGTTATGAGGTGCGTTGTCATGCCAGGTGTTTGAGATTTTTGTCATCTCTGAAATGTACTTTACAGAATGCAGCCTTACCCACAAAGTCTGTAGGGTCAGTTGGGATCTGTGCAGGGTCCTGAGGGAGCAGGCAGAAATGCTCACCAGGTCACTTCCCATCATTACTTCCCCAGCAGCCCCAGAGAACCCAGGAGGTCCCAATTGGCTGGATTTAGCAAATGTGATGCCAATCCACATGAAGGGCTAAAGGAGCATCCAGAAAACTCCCAGCCTGTCAGCCTGACCTTGTAGCAGAGAAGATCCTGGAGTAGATCACTCTGAGTGTGGGCATGCAGCACATACAGGACAGCCAGGGGATCACACCCAGCCAGCGTGGGTTTAGGAAAGGCAGGTCCTGTTTGAGCAGCCTCATCTCCTGCCATGACAGAGTGACCTGCTCTGTGGATGAGGAGGTGGCTGTGGATGTGTCTGTCTGGACTGTAGTAAAGCCTGTGTCACTGTTTGCTCCAGCATCTCCTGGAGAGCGTGGCTGCTCATGGCTTGCACAGGTGCTCTCTCTGCTGGGTGAAAACAGGCTGGATGGCCGGGCCCAGAGACAGGTGGGGAATGGAATCGCATCCAGCTGGCACCTGGTCACTGCTGGGGTTCCCCAGAGCTCAGTCCTGGCACCAGCCCTGCTTTATGTCCTCACTGATGATCTGGAC